AAAAAAAAAAAAAAAATTTAATAAAAAAATAAAAATTTGAATTCTTAGTTATTTTCCTCTTTTCACTTTGCTGATATTAATGTTTTTTAAGCTCTATTTTATGTTTAATCTTAGTTTTGTATGTCTGAAGTATGTACCTATGTGAGTTAACCAATAAAATATTTTTAATTTATTTGATATAGATTCATTTATGTGGGCTGTGGTGCGGACATCAATTGTTTTAGTGTGAGCTCTGGAAAATTAGTAGCCAATTACACTGCTGATCAAAACTTTGGTAGAATTGTTAATTTATGTTTTCATCCTTCTGATGATAAAATATTGGTTGCTATTCACTTCAATGCTGTTGTTGTTTTTTGGAATTTGATTGGAAGCCAATCTGCCAAACTTTTGAAACAACAAGTAAAAATATTTAAACTTATACATAATCTCAATAATTAGCATGTTTTTTTAAAAATAGGAATTAGATTTAAAAAAATATAATGTAGTAAATGCAAAATGCTTGTCAACAAAGTATTGCTCTTATGATGTGGATTGTATTGTTGTATCATTTAAATTACGAGCATCTGATAACAATGATATCAATATTGGTTTATTTACTTTGGAAGAAGGGACACTATTACACAAATTTGATGAAAAGTAACTTTTTGAACCATAAAAAAAAAAATCATATTTAATGCTTAATTATATTTTAGTTTGGAGAATTTACCACATATTTGGTCAATAGGAGGATTTGAAGATGTACCTTATTTTTCCTTTGCTCATAAAAATATAATATATATTTATAATTTATTAAATTATAAAAAAAATAAGTATGTCAATTATAAAAAAAAAAAATATTGAAATAATATTAAATCAGTGTTATTATTAAATGACATTTATATTTATAGAATTAAATTAGGGTCTGATAGAACAGTAACTGTTGTACAATGCCATCCTAATTCAAACACTTTAGCAATTGGAGATAACACAGGAAGAATTGTTTTGTACTATAATGTATTACATAAAAATACTAGAACTCAAACTGTGTATCATTGGCACACACTTCCTGTAAATGATGTTATATTTACAAGCAGCGGTGAGAAAATAAACGTTTTTCATAAAAAAAATACATAATGATTTAAAAAAAATTGATTACAGGTAATAATTTTTATAGTGGAGGTGCTGAAAATGTCTTGGTCAAATGGTTTTGTGAAAATACAGAGACTAGGCATTATTTACCTAGAATATCCGCCAATATTGTCCATTTATCTGTTACAGAAGATAGCCAATATGTTGCTGTATCCACACAAAATAATAGTAATGCATTACAACCAAATATATTTTAAATAAAGATATCAAATTATTTATTACCATTTTAATTTTTAGGTATAATAATAGTGAACTCTCAAAATCGTATACATTCTGTCATTCAGACATTCACTTGGGGAGTGAATGCATCAAATGTAAATAGTTTGATTAAATATTATTTTTATGACTTATTATCACTTAATTTATTTTAGGCAGATGAATTTGAAAAAGTCTTTCCAGCAGGCGTTTCATTCGACAGTCGTTCAAGATCCCTCGTTACAAATGGATTTCCTGGTCACATTCAATTTTTTTCAATTGATAAATCACAATTAGCATTTAATGTTAGAGTTTGTTTTTTTAATTATATTAGTAGGTAATTGCAATGAAATTTTGTGTTTGTGTGTTTGAATAGTTGGATATTGTCTGTCAAAATTTTACGACCAGAACAAGAGATCAAGGTGTATTCAATGCTGATGTTTGTTTATTGGCAATAAGTAATGATAGCTCATGGCTAGCAACGGTTGAAAGAAGACCATTTGACGATAAATATATAGTAAATGATGTTCTTAAGTTCTGGACTTTTAATGAAAAATCGCAAATGTAATATTCTAATATTTTTTTKTTTTAATTTGTTTTTAAATCAAATTTATATATTTTTTAGCTATAAATTAAATACTTACACGAATTCCGTAGATAGAATTTCAAAATTAATTTTTCGGCCATCTGTAGATTCTGATGGTTCACATATGGTTGCTACATTACACAAAGATATGTATAAACTTTGGTCTCCATATAATTTATCGGAAGACAAAAAAAGTAAATATGAAAATATTTCTTAGTTTCTTGATTATAATGTAAAAATAAATATTGAAATACTATGTAATAAATGTATATATTATAATTGACAAATTTTTATCTTATATTTTTAGATCCAATTAAATCATGGCAACATGAATACACAAGTAAGCTCTATCATAATCAACCATTACATGCAATCAGTTTCTCTGAAGACGGTTGTATATTGGCAGCTGCTTTTGGACCAAGCATAGTTTTAAAAGTTCTTGATGACTCAGACGATTTCAAAACAAGTCTTACTCACGGATTTGAACATATTAGGTAAATTTATTTAATTATAATCTTAAGTTAAATTATTGTTTATATTTTTATTTTACATGACTAAATAAAATATCATAAATGGACAAACAGTWACTGAGTTAACAGCTCTATGCCAGTTTTTGTTTGTGTCTTGTTGTTAATAGTTTTTTTTTTTTTTATCAAAATAGCTTATGTATAATCATTTTGATATTCACCTGCATTGCTATTAATAAATGATTTATATATAGATTTTTAGAGTTTGGTAAAAACGCAAGCAGTTGGATGCTTGTTGCTGCATCAAGCACAAGACTTTTGGTATGGAATGTGCTTAGTGAGACATTACTTACARCTATTTGGATTCAAGTTGAAAGATTAATTGCTGATCCAATTTCAGAATACATGGCTATTTTTACTCCTAATAATGATTGTTAGTAAACCATATTTTGCCTAAAGCTTTATATCTAATAATTTTATTATTTATTTTTAGTGTTTGTTTTTACTCCAAACAGCAAAAATGTAGTGTATAAAAAAGAAAATATATTTGGAAACAATAACAAAAGTACTTCTATTTTGTGGGCAATATTTGCACCAAAGTCAGATAATCCGAATGGACAAAATTTGTCGTGGTTGGATAACTCTACTCTCTACATGTTGACCAACCAACAAGTAATTTATTTTATTTTATGTTTAATTTTTTAATAATGAATAAATGTACTGATGAAATTACTCTAAACTCTTTTAGGAACTTTTAAAGTTTGAAAAGACTGACACTCTCCAAAAAATGATTGAAGCTTTTGTAGAAGATAATTTTGCTAATCTAACACCTCTAGGACGTATTATA